GACGACGTAGCACGGTCCCGACGTCGGGTCTCCTGGCCTGTCAGTCCAATCTCTCTCAACCTGTTCCATACCGTTTGACCGGATATCCTCCGAAGTCCAGGCACCCTGGCTGTTGTGCTTTCACCCGTGGCAGTACGATCACGCAAATGTAGTACCCGGATATACCGATCTTGGACTGCAGTGGTGACTCGAGGTCTGCCTGTACGGGGACCGTCATTTGTTATACCTGTTTGGTTGCAACAAGCTGCAGGCCGTGATATCATGCTCAGACTAACATTCAGACGCCTGGCAACAGAAGATTGATAATCTCCAGCGTACATTCTTTCAATGGCGAAGTTCCTTTCGCAGCGTCAAGACGTGGCGTAATGATTTGACCTTGAAACTTCTTCAAAACGAATGTCGATTTCCGAAAGTAATCTGGATTTTTATAGCCAGGCAGTGCATGCTCTTTGCTGCACAATTTCAACTGGAAGGTGATTTTGTTGCGTTGTGAGTGCCTTGTAAGAAATCTCATCAAAATCAACATTTTCAGGTAAAGTCGATTTTTGACTTTTACAATTGTGTACAATCAGGTTATCAACACTTTTGTTACATATTTTGACGAATGTTTGAACACAATAGGTAATTAATAAATTTATAAGAATACAAAATGCCTATGCGTTTCATTTTTGGGACAGTATATTTGAATATGACATGTGTTGTGGGTTGATATAATGTACAATCCAATGTTCGATTCTGACTGTATAATAAGCAGGTGTTTTGGATCACTATCTTATCGTGATGACATCCCTCACAAACTCATGCATAGGACCACAGGGGTTCGAATCACTGTTTGGACAATAATTTTAAAAAATTAAAAATTAGATTTTTGTAACCGTATATTGTTTTTATATGTTATGAGTAACTTATATTTATAATGTGAAGGAATGGATTTTTTAAGAAAATTCTCCCACCACACTCATTACATAAAATACACAAGGGGTGACACTCGCGATGCTAAAAGCCTGATCGAAAACTGGAGAGCCCGACTATTTTAACGTGCGTTCAATCAAACCTTACGTTTTTCACAAAACAATGGATTGAGCTTGTAGATTATTCGTTTGGCCTGCTGCTCATCGTGTTCAGTTTGTCTAACTGCATTTCATATTTGACCACTGACCCTCACTACCCTCCGTTTTGAACAAACGTCTGGCCACCCTTCGGTAAACATCGACACTGTCCGAAAATCTCGGAACGACTCGGAACTCAAAACGGCTCTCATTGGTCAATTTCCACGTGTGCGGGGGAAAACAACAAACGAACAAGGCAGACAGGGCAGTGAGAGGGGCTATCGATGGCCATGCATAATCTGTTGATTTGGGGCCAAGCGGGCACAGGCTTGACCACCTCACTGCGCACGATCAGAGACTAGAGGAATTATATAGGAAAGGGAAACGATTGAGGACTACTATACGACGACGACTGGGCTGGCAGCCGCTAATATCGGTGGGGTTACCCTCCATCGTTTCACATGTATTTCTCAGTTATTTTTTTATTATTATCAAGCTTATTTCCTCCATATAAATGGTGTGCGTTACATAGATTAGTATACATTTGTGCTTTCAATGAGTTATGACAGGTTTCTATTAATGTCAGTCAATTTTACAATCTTCGGTATACATACGGAAAATGTATTGTCAGATGACCAAAGCTACGCAGGTGTTTTATTTTCTTACATAGCACATACTCAGTTTGGAACATCATGTTTTCATAACATAGTACCAAAAGATCCTAAAGTCATAATTGGGGGTACGAAATAAGAATGTATAATATTTAAAGTGTATAAAATTCACAATGACATAATTGGCATTGCATAAGGATTTGATAACAAACATCAGCCACACATAATGACAGAGGTAACCCAACAAATTGATTTTGTATGTGAATTAATTGTAAACTACATCTGATTATGAATAGTTTTTATATAAATGTAGTTTAATTTTGTGTTTGTGAAAGTGTTCCAGAAATTTGGATAAATTGTTTCACCTTAAGGAATTCATAATATTTCACAATTGTTTGCAATCAACAATGCAATTTTTGTGTGTGGATAAACTCTACTCTTTTTCCACCATCATTTGTTATATCGTGTACAACAATACTAGCAATATTAAGAACTGTTGGAGTTATGAAATATTCATGACAAATTAAGAGTTTTAGAGAAATGGGAAATAAATATGTAAGTAAAGATTCAGTTTTGATACGGTAATTGTGTAATCTATCATTATAGACCATGAAATGCATTGACCAAAAATTATTTGATTGTTTTATTAATTTTGAGACCATCCATAGGGTTTATCCAGGAACAAATAGGAACAAATATAATTGGGTAAGGAAAACTATTTGATAGATGAAAAGATATCTTGATATCCACTATCATTCCCTGGTAAGGGGTTAAAAGGTTGGAGGGCAGTAGTTTCTTATATTAGTACCAACAAAAGTATTTTTAAGATTGGATAAAGCTCAGAATATTGTTTTGTTTCCAGATTCACCAACAGTCAGGTATTGTGCACATATTACCAAGCATCTCTCCATGTTTTGAAACTAACCTCTTTTCAACCTGCCACATGTGACGAAATAAGGAAAGTGTTCTTGAAATGTCCAACTAAGTCCTGCTCATTGGATCCATTACCGACTTGGCTTCTGAAACTTGCAGCAGATGAGATTTATACTACTATAACACAAATAGTAAATCTTTCACTGACAAGTTGTGAAGTTCCTCCATGTCTGAAGGAAGCACTTATAAGACCCCTCCTGAAGAAACCTAGTTCAGATCCTGATACTTTAAAGAACTACAGGCCTGTGTCGAACCTCACGTTTCTATCTAAGCTCATAGAGCGTGTAGTAGCCAGTCGTCTCCAAGCTCATCTCAAGACTTGAAACTTACACGAGACTATGCAGTCAGCCTACAAGTTAGGTCACAGGACGGAATCTGCTCTGATACGTGTCCGGAACGATTTGCTAATGTCTGTCGCCTCTGAAGGTGGAGCTGCATTAGTGCTACTAGACCTCTCAGCAGCGTTTGACACCATCGACCATTCCATTCTGCTGTCCCTCCTGGAGACTCGTGTCGATGTTACTGGAGATGCTCTGAAGTGGTTTGAGTCGTACCTATGCAACCGATTCCAATCTGTAATCATCGACGGCAAAGAATCACAGAAGCAGAACTTGTATACGGTGTGCCACAAGGCTCGGTATTAGGTCCCATACTATTCACCTTGTATACCCTACCTGTAGGAGACATTGTCAGAAAATACAATCTGGGATTTCATCTATATGCCGATGATTCCCAGATCTACATGGGTTTCCGACCTTTCCACCCATCCTCTGTTGCTAATGCACAGGCGACCATCGTAGATTGTGTCAAGCACTGGATGTCCACGCACTTTCTCCAACTCAACGCCGACAAGACAGAACTTATTATCTTTGGATCCAAATATTTGCTTTCAAACTTTCAGTTCCCACCATTGAAACTTGGTGACAGTTCTCAAGCAAGGAATCTAGGTGTGTTTTTTGAGTCATCCTTGTCATCTGAGCGACACATCGATGCTGTTTGCAGGTCATGCTACTACCATCTTAGAAACATCAGCTTGATCAAGAAGCATATTGGTACGGATGCAGTGAATACACTAGTTAATGCGTTTGTTACATCTCGCATGGACTACTGCAATAGTCTATTGTATTGGGCATCGGAATACTCACTCTCCAGACTCGAGAGAGTGCACAACAGTGCAGCCAGAGTAATCACCAACACGAGACGACGAGATCACATCTACCCGGTCTTACAAGACCTCCATTGGCTACCAGTGAGACAACGTATCCAGTTCAAGATCCTGGTGTTTGTCTTCAAATCGCTGCATGGTCTAGCTCCTGAGTATATCACTCCTATCAGCCTACACTCCAGGGAGAGATCTTAGGTCAAGACCATCAAGAGCACTGGATGTTCCTATGAATAGGAGAAGACACTATGGAGATAGATCGTTCTCCAAAGCCGGTCCCTGGCTTTGGAACCGTCTTCCTCGGCACATTCAGAACATTGTCAATCTCGACCAGTTTAAACGACAACTAAAACTAAAAACCCACTGTTCAACACAGCCTTCGCCTAAGCGCCTTTGAGCAATATGTTCGAACAGGCGCTATACAAATATTAACTTTATTTATTTAACTTTATTTATTATATTACTAATGGGGTAAGGTAATACAGGAATGATTAAGAAGTTGAAATTTATTTCATATATGACCGACTCGCTAGATGAGATTTAGAATTGACATTTAATGGTTTCATTGTTGATAATGGTTGAGGTCTTTGACTTGATCAGTCACAAGTATTTCTATAAGAGTTTTTCAAATTTTAGAAATTGTACTATACAGGGAAAAGTTAATGATCATATATTGCCAACATGAAAGTGTCAGCATTTAATTATTCTTAAAGTCAATTTTCATAGGATATTATCATTTTCAAGAGATTGTTAAGATGGGATTTAAAGTCAAAGATGAGCGCATGCGCGAGCAAGGCAAGACGTGTTTGAAACGCTGAGAGAAAATGGGTATCTCTCAAGCTCAATATCGAGCTAAAATAGGTACTTTTATTCATCCAAACAAAGCAAAATGTTTGCTATGCGGAATCACACTTGATAAATGTTCGATTTCCTTGCAATTGAGACTTTTGCTACTACTAAGCACATTGCTCGTGACAAGCGGATCAGTCGAGATGAACCCAGGCCCAGCTACGAGGCAACAAACTCTCACTTCAGACAGGGACGGTTCAGTCGGATTGGAGGTAAACGTTGATGCAATTAAACTGCTTAAAGATATCCAACTTGATTTGAAGACACGGAACAAGAGATTTGAATCGATAGATAACAAAGTCGACAAGATGGCGTCCGATTTCAGCTCCCAGTTGAATAGCCTACGTTGCGAAAACAGTGAGCTGAACTCAAAACTGAAGGAAATGGAAGATAAAGTTGACGATTTGGAAATGAGAAGTCGACGTGATAATCTTGTGTTCCACGGTTTACCAGGATCGGCGGGTGAGACTTGGGAGCAGTCAGAAGAGAAAGTGCGTGAGTTCATGTCTGAGACTTTACATATGGGTAACGAGGCTGAGACAGTGTTGATTGCGAGAGCGCATCGAATCAACCCCAGAAACTCACGATCGCCTGTAATAGCGAAGTTCTTGAAAACTAGTGAAAGATCAACAGTGTTCAAGAAAGCTAGAGAAATTCTGGGAAGAGATGGTTATCAGCGAGTGACCGAGGATTTCACGCAGCGGGTACGCGAGGACAGACGATCACTCTCGCCTTGGTTTGTCAAGGCCCGGGACGACAACAAGCGTGTGAAGATGAGGCAGAATAAGCTGATTATTGATGGATCAACCTACATGTACGATCGTGAGAAGGGCGACATTGTGTGTGTATCAGGACGGCGATCAGACCGTCTCCGATCGACGCGTGGATCTTCAACTCCATACAGAGATGCAGTGACAATAAACGCACGTGGTGCTTTGTTTACATCCGAACGCGGAAGTAGTGTTGAGGAAAGGGAGGTCACTCCAAGTGCAAGCTAGGGAAATGGCCGAAGCCCGAACGTCGTCTCCAGTGACAACAATGTAAACATCCTGAGCTGGAACATTGAAGGTTTGAGAAAACATGACAATCCTGTTTCTATACTCAAGAAGTATTGTGCTAGCTACGACATTATTGGTTTTTGTGAGAGTTTTGTGCGCAGTGCGAGTGAATTCTCTGATTTTCTTCCGGGCTACGGAGTGTTTAATAGTGTAAGACAGAAAGTAAAACGTCTCGGTCGGTACAGCGGAGGCGTGACTGTGTTTGTCAAGAACATATTCATTGATAATAGGCTCGTTAGCCGTGTGTATGAACATTTCCAGGACTGTGTAGCTCTCATCTTGCATACATCTCGCTTGAAGTTGGGCCATGATATAATTCTCATGTTTCCATACGTTTCACCTGAGAACTCTCCAATATATGATAATGTTGACTGTGATGGTATTTCTCAACTGGAAGATTACTTCCATAGAGTGAGATCAGATTATCCAACTGACCATATATTTCTAGGGGGTGATCTTAATGCAAGAATGAAGGACTTCCTTGATTATATACCAGATGATACTATTGAATATGTTTATGATACGGATGGTTATCCAGGTGATATGTTTGAAACCCCAAGGAACTCTAAAGATGAACAGTATAATAATTATGGTATGAAACTTGCAGAACTATGTCGTACATTTGGGATACACACTCTGAACGGTCGACTGTATGAAGATCTGTCTGGAGAGTTTACATGTGTCACCCACAATGGGGCCAGTGTTGTTGATTACATGATGGCATCCTCATCACTGTTTCCTCATATCAATAACTTTGGCATAGGTACTCATGACTTATCTTGCCATTTCCCATTATATTGCTCTATTGCCATTGCTGCTGACACTGACAGCAGGGCTAATGACACTGTGTCTGATGAAGTAAATGAAACATGGATCAAATATGTATGGTCTAAGGACACAGAAAATAAGTTTATCACACACTTTGAGCATGCATTTGCAGACTCTCTTGGTGATTTGTTATACCTATTGAATACATGTGTTGACGACTCTATATCTATGTTTGTAAAGCTACTCCATCATGCTGCTGCCCACACTAAAAGTGTGTACCCTCCTGTGTGTAGTAAAGCTGATAGGGACAGGGAGCAGCCTCCATGGTGGGATCAAGAATTAGAGGAGTTAAAACATGATAAGTACAAGGCTCTTAGAGCTCATAGAGATTTTAATCAAAGTCTGGATATTTTCAGGTGTTTTAGAAATTGTTTTAAACATGTTTTCAGAGTGAAGAAGGAAGCCTATTTCTGTAAACAAAAGGACAAATTGGTAGCTGCTAGCAAGGATTCTAAGTCATTTTGGAGGATTTTGAAAAAGTGTAATTCTTCCAGTGGTATTTCTCAGTCTATAACTAATCTGCAGTGGGTCAGTCACTTTATGTCTTTACTTGGTGCAGATCAAGATGGGTCTTATCTTTTAGATGAGGATAGTGATGTTTATTTGTCAACTCAGAGATCAGAAGGGCTTGATGATCCTTTTACTCAACAGGAAGTTTCACGTCAGATAGTTAATTCTGCTAATAATAAATCTCCAGGGCCAGATGGTGTTGCTGCTGAATTCTTAAAGGCTTCTAGTCATCTCATTGTACCATATCTTACTCAGCTTTTTAATCATATTCTTGATAGTGGTAAATTTCCATCTTGTTGGGGTAAAAGCATTATTTGTCCTGTTCATAAGTCTGGTTGTAGAGATGATACTAATAATTACAGAGGAATTTCTCTCATAGATTCCACTTGTAAAGTGTTTATGTCAATTCTTAATCGCCGCCTCCAGCGATGGTGTGAAGTTCATGATATTATCAGTGAATCACAGGCCGGTTTCAGGGCTGATTATTCAACAATTGACCAAATATTTTCATTGCAGTCGTTAATTCAAAAATATATTAGCAAAAAAAGGGGTAGATTTTATTGTCTCTTTGTAGATTTTGCCAAGGCTTTTGATACTCTAAGGCATGATGTTCTTCTAAAGTCACTTTATGAAGCTGGTATACGAGGTAAATTTCTTATGCTGTTAACTTCTATGTATAGTTCTTTATCAGCTTCAGTCAGGACATCTAAGGGTATATCAAATAGTTTTTTATTGTAACATCGGTACTCGCCAAGGCTGTGTTTTGAGCCCTCAGATTTTTATTATCTTCATAAATAAGCTATGCAGTCTTATGGAGTTGGAAGGAGGTCAAGGTATTACAGTTTCTTCTTCTATTAGCAATCTCTGCTCTCTTATGTTTGCTGATGATGTGTCAGCAATAGCTGACACCTGTGCACAGCTGCAAAAAAAGATCAATGTACTTGGTAAATTTTGTGAGCAAACTGGTATGAGCGTGAATCTAAAGAAAACTAAGATTATTGTTTTTACAAATGGTGGTCCCTTGCGCTCATATGAAAATTGGTTTTATAATGGCAATGTTATTGACACTGTATCTTTTTACAAGTACCTTGGAATTATGTTCACTCCTAAATTATCCTGGAGTAGAGCTACATCTTGCCTTGCATCACAAGCTAGTAAGGCAATATTCTCTGTTAAAAAATTTCCAAAGGAAACTTGGCAGCATTAATTGTACAGATTTATTTAAAATCTTTGATTGTATGATATCACCCATTCTCTGTTATGGGTCTGAAATCTGGGGCACATCCTACTGTAATACCATTGAATCTGTCCATATTAAATTCTGTAAATATGTCTTGAAACTTGGGAAATCCACCTGTAACAATATGGTCTTGGGTGAATGTGGAAGAGTGCCTTTACAGTTTACTTATACAACCAATGCAGTGAAATACTGGTGCAGACTTCTAAACATGCCTGACTATAGATTACCAAAACAATGTTATTTTATGCTATTATCTTTAGACAGGGTAGGACGAAACTCATGGGCAACTAGAATTAAAAATATTCTTTTCAATTTGGCTTTGGATTTGTTTGGATAAGTCAGGAAATTGGTGATCACAAAATATTTATGGAATCATTTAAACAGAGACTACGTGATAATTTATTTCAATCTTGGCATTCATCTTTGGACAGTAACCGTAAATGTCTTTACTATAAGCAATTCAAATCTTTGTTAAATGTTGAGAGCTACTTGATAAATAATGATATCCCTCAATATTTAAAACTATATATGCCCGATTTCGGTGCTGTAATTTTAAACTAGCAGTTGAAACGGGCAGATACACTGATGTTGCATATAATGAAAGGCATTGCCTGTTTTGTAAATTAAATGGTATCTTTGTTGTTGAAGATGAATGGCATGTGTTTTATATCTGTGATGCATATTCTCATATCAGAAATAAGTACATATCAAAATATTTTAGTAAATGTCCATCAATTATTAATTTTATATCAATATTACAGAGTAAAAATGTTAATATTATCAAGGATGTATGTCTATTTTTATACTTTGTTGACAAGAAACACAAATCTAAATGAAATATATATGTGCTCTACTTATCATCAATTTATGTACATGTATTTTGGGCCGGAGGCCTGTTACTGAAATAAAATTCTGTTCTGTTCTGTTCTGGAGGGTCAGTGGTCAAATATGAAATGCAGTTAGACAAACTGAACACGATGAGCAGCAGGCCAAACGAATAATCTACAAGCTCAATCCATTGTTTTGTGAAAAACGTAAGGTTTGATTGAACGCACGTTAAAATAGTCGGGCTCTCCAGTTTTCGATCAGGCTTTTAGCATCGCGAGTGTCACCCGTTGTGTAATGAGTGTGACGGGAGAATTTTCTAAAAAATCCATTTCTTCACCGATTTCGTTCACATTTTAAATATAAGTTACTCATAACATATAAAAACAATATACGGTTACACAAATCTAGATTTATATTTTAAAAAATTATTGTCCAAACAGTGATTCGAACCCATGTGCATAGGACATCGTGCTTAGATGCCATCTGGAAGTAGGAACACGCCGTCTAAACACCGCACATTATCAATATAATTTCAAATCGGCTGAATTTAATATTGCTGGTCTCTCACATGGCGAAACATTTGTGGAATTAGAAGAAATGTTCATTTAAGATAAGAGAGATAAGTGGGTTGAAGGACAACATGTATCCGTTTGCGGGAGAATTGATGGGGACATAAAATAATGTTTCTTCGTTTGTGTTGAGTTCAGAGATTCAGGGACACTTATACCAATAATTAATCGAATCGTTAACCAAAAATGAAAAGATTGTTGGCAGTGTTAAAAATGGACATTATGGTTTGTGGCAAGACCTAAACAATTTTCCATCGTTTGATGGCTAATATACAGCCTGTTAGGTATAACTGGGAAAAAATATATTGTTAAAATACTTTAATGCGACTTAAATCAAGTAAACGGAAATCGAGTTTTTTTCAAGTTCCGAACTCACGAAATACATTTGATTGGAACTGGAATAAGGTTTCAAAATAAAATACACAAAGAAAAGTTTTGAGCACTCATAAAGATTTATATAAACACATAAAATATCATCGCTTCCAGGAATGACCTTCGATATTTTTAGCAAAATATTCTCGAAACCGAGTCCGTTTACATTTTGCTGCTATAGAATCCATGGTTGTCAGAACCGCACTTGGCGGGTGGTTTGTCCTCGGTGTTGGCACTGATGCTGTCCAAAGCGTGTCCGTCAGGAACCTCGGCACTGGCCCAGTATCTTCCTGTCCGGTTTTCCTGTCCGGCAGGTCCCCAGCTGGGTGTTGGGACAAAGGCCTTCCTCTGAATAGACAATAATCGCCATGCTAGAGGGATGCTACGTAATTTGAGTCAACATTTCAGCAAAAAGGCGAAAATCCTGCACCCTGTGGGATGTCGTCATCTCATGTCAAGAAATGTGTCGTTACGTTCGTCCAGTAGAACGGCCCTTCGATGACTGGTTTTATAATATAGATTTATTTTGGTTAATGTTTAGATTGTTCTCGTCACGGTATGGCTGAAATATTGCCGATGGGACGTTAGATATAAACTCACCCAGTCACCCAAATAGAACGACTTAATTTAAATATAATAAAACAGCATCGTAACTTTGTGGAAATTTCTAACAGCGTTAACACATTTAGAAAGCGTTGTTTCGAACTTACAGGTCCGAGCCTGAAGATCTGTACCACAAAGATGAGGATGACTGTAATAACAGGGGCGACAACCATGCACCAACCAATGCCCTCCGCCCACAGGGGGAACTTGTAGTCTCCGTAGAAGGCTGGGGTGTACTGAGAGGCAGACACTATCAAGAGAAACTGAAAGAGCGAACATGCATTCAGATTGTTTTGTATAAATTGGGTGAATAAATCACTCAGTACTGAAGGAAAACCAAAGTTCTATGGATAGTCAACTTCTTTATTGCAATGAGTGCGGCGTTTCGGTGTAGGTACTAACACCGTTATCAGGCAGCATGGGACACAAAGTATCACGCTTGATTACTCATCGCAATAAAGAAGTTGACTATCCATAGGACTTGGTTTTCCTTCATCTGTACAACTTCTAAAGTGCCTCTCAAAGAAGTCACTCAGAACTGGCAATAAACCATTTTTTTCTCAAATTGAGCTACGTTGAAGAATCACCCTCATCATAGGCTGTAACGCGACAACTCTTTAGATAAGTATGGATGCTGTAAAGAAATGAGTAACGTTCATGTTGAAGTTTGTAAATGGGTACTTGGAGTATCACCACATCACTACACACAGTGTATTATGACCAGGGTTCTGAAATATTGGTTTAAAATCCATATTTGTCATCGTAATGGGGAACCATAATGAGAAGAACTGGAGATTTAGACATGAATTGGGAAGCACATCTCATTAACATGCTGTGTAATTAGGGTTTAGTCCTGGATATCCCATAATCCAGATTATCAGAAGGGTTGTGTTTCTGGCAGCAAACCCCGGTACTCTCCTGATGTCACCCGTCAGATTAGGAGGTACCAAATGTAAGGAACCAAAAACCGTGTCTCGGAGTCGGACAACTTGGTACATTGAATGCAAGCGTGACATTTCCTTGGCAATGTCCACATCCACAGGGAATTTAATTATATGAATAATTTCATTGTATTGATAAGAAAAAATCCGACATGGTCAGGTGTGTCCCCATTGATTCGTCGGAGGCTCCATAAAGAATTTCATAATGAGAATATTCCATGACGCCCTCTATGTAGTGCTGATGGAACTAGTGAATGACCTCTGAGTAAAAAGCATATTAAGCATAACACTAATACGTAAAGCTGATCATGCAGTAGATGAACACTGTGGACCAAACATCTGACCAATAATACAGTACAGATAATCTTGATATCATCATGGCACACATTCCGTTCCCCACACATGCCATCAGCATATTTCAGAGACACCTTAAAGCGGGGGTGCCTATTATCCCGTCATGCCATCAACATATTTCAGAGACACCTTGAAGTGGAAGTGGCTACCATCCCGTCACTACGTTCAGCATATGTCTGAAATACATTAAAGCGAGGAGCCTACCAAAAGGGCGGCAGGAGTCAGGAAGACCCAGTTGATGACCCAATATGGATTGGGACGGCGACCAAGCATCATCTTAATATCCTCCATGAACCGCTTCACACCTGAATAACGATACAAAAGATTATAAAGAGCTATGATTGTTTGCTTGTTTGCTTGTTGGTTGTTTAACACCGAACACAATATTCCAGCTACATGGTGGCGGTCTGTAAATAATCGAATTAGGACCAGACAATCCAGTGATCAACATCATGACCATCGATCTACGCAATGTGGATACGATGACATGTGTCAACCAAGTCAGCGAGCATGACCACCCAATCCCTTTAGTTAAGTATGGGTTGCCGAAGACCAATCCTAACCCGGATCTTCATGGGTCTTAAAGACATTTATATCACGTATTGGCTTGCCAATAAAAACGACATTATTAGGGAACCACATTTGTTAGTTAACATCATATCCGAAAGCGGGATGTTAAAAGAAGTTTCACGACATGCAATCCATTGGAATCATAAGGCGGCCACCTTACTAAGTTTATTTGCTGTAAAAACCACTCCCATATACAGTATCCTGTTTATCAATTTTCCAACATCAAGTGTATGCAAGAACATTACGGCTAGCTACATATCATATATTTACAGTGGCTTGTGGCTAATTACTGAGATCTAAAATACAAAATATACTTTAATGGCGGGATAGAAATATTATACTTGGCAAATATGAGAACCTTGCTTCATCACTCAACAGTACATGCTCTCTTTTAAACATGTACTTCGTATCAACACTTTTTGACAGTGATAAATAAAAACGTGCTTATCATGTAGTCTGACACATACAATGCTATTCGCTCAGATTCTCGTAATGAATTTATGTATATTTATAGTGTATTATGCCAAAAAACAGCCAAACTGCAAATTTTAAGCTGCCATTTTCAGCCACAAATGAAGTTTCACATAAACTATATGACAAGCAAAATATTCCCCCCAAACTACATCTCAAAGACTGAGACCTCTAATTCAAATTTTGATGTTATTCTCACCTTAGTTTGAGAAAATAATTAAGAGCATACACACCATAGACATACATGATGCAGATGATCTCCGCCAGACACACTAGCATCACGCTATAGCTGCCACAGTACCAGTCCGTCAGTGTCAACACATAGATACCACCCTGGAGGAAAACATAGACGACAGTGAGAGCTACAGGCATGGCCATGAATGTCACATCTGTCATATCCGCGAACATAACTGTTACCTGTTTACAATATTTAGTTATGGATTGGGATGATTAATTTAGGTTATAAATGTCGATTCGGATTAAGTTGGTTGCACATTTTATATATGCTTAATAAGGGAACATATGTAGCCAACTATAAAACGACAGCAAAGATCAGTAATAGTTAATCCAACCTTTGTGACGAAAGGCAAACCGAGGAGGAAGCCAAGGAGACAACAGAGGGCTGTGAAGGCAGTTTTGTGGGGTCTCAGGAAACGTGGGAAGACGTCACTGATGCCGCCCACTATTGTTTGCATAGCTGTGAACTGCAGAAAAAGAACACAAAGATAAGCGATGGTTCTGTCATGTATGTATTTTGGAAAATCACATAAATCTACAAGGTGTGACAGTAAGTATATCAAATTTGACCATTCTGAGCGAGGACTGATGTCTTTTGTTGATAACAGAGACTAGACTGAGACCCAACCCTTCGTCTGATATGTTTGCAATTTGGAAATGAACAGGTGTTGGAATACTGACATTGGATATTAGAAGAAAATTAGCCATAGAGGTTCCCCTTTGTTTGTTCATCATTTGTTATCATTACGTCATTTTTTAATACTTTGTAATGCTTATAAGAACATCATGTCACTGTTGACCGCCTCCGTGGTGTAGTGGTTAGAGCGTCCGCCCGTAGGGCGGAAGGTCGCGGGTTCGATCCCCGACCGCGTCATACCAAAAGACGTTAAAATATGGTACTTGTTGGTCCCTGCCTGGCGCTCGGCATTAATGGGTACAACAAGGACTCGGCTCGGAGTCAGTATACTGTGTCTGAGTGGGGTACTCATGCTTAACTGCGGCATGGTATCTCAATGGGCTAGCACTTTTAAACCTGTGCTAGTACAAGCAGCCGCACATACACATACACACGCATGCACGTCGTCATATGAGCGAAATATTCTCATGCACGACGTTAAAACCCAATTTCACCTCACCTCATGTCACTGTTGCAAAAATGTTACGATAACGTCCTCTCATGCCTAAGGGTTACTTAATTAGGCGAATAAATTAATTGTCTATAACATAACGTAGTTCGTGGGTTCTGAAAATATTGCTTTCTGTCTTGGCTGTGAGAAAAAAAACTAATTTATGACGGTATAAATGTCAATATAGGTACGGTGAGGTGTGTTTTATTCCACCTGAGTGTCCATTCCGAGTGAAAACAGCATAAAGAAGAACAGGAAGGCCCACAACGATGACACTGGAAGCTTCGCGATGCTTTCTGGGTAAGCAATGAATGCTAGACCAGGCCCTGAAACGATATCACACATTTCACCTTCATAGTGGGTAAGTTCCCAGTTTTCAGTGCTGGTTGCAGAGATCAAGTGAAATGAAGCTCTAGAGGCTGCAGTGCATTCTACACGGTGTCCTTCTTGAACCCTGACAGCGTGGACCCTTGTTGGAGCTGGCAACCACTAGTTGGGGGGAGAATTCATGGATTATTGACAGCCAAACCATGAGCATACCCTTATTAGTTGTTCCTCAATGCATTGTTGGGTCAGCTACTGTAGTAGAACACCTACATGTAATGACATTGACTGGAATCTATGGTGAGGACTTCAGACAAAACATCGGTTTTGTTTTTTTTTGCTAACTTCATTCTGTGCTTTCTTCCACATCCGTCTGGTCAAGTTATTGGTCAGGTTTAATCACTCTTGTATATTCATATTTATTTTACTTTTAAATTTAAAACTTAAAGGTATTTTTGTCATTTTACCACTTACTATTTGACAGATTTTCAAGGATTACAATGATTTGTATATCCAGTTCTAAGTCAGTCACAGTTGTTGGCATCAAACAAAAGAGATGCTCATTTCATGGAAACCCAAAACATTTGCAATAAACCGTAAATGCGTGTATCACAATCCTATTATTACTGACATATATACCTACAAAACCGTTCAGTAAACCAATGCCACCACTTACACATGAAAAACATGTACAAAGGTGTTGAATATTTTGGCCGAAATATTTACCTCTGAATGGGCGAAAAGGAATCAATATTTCGCCTCGTGCACACGTTATCAAGGCATCCCGCTTGTACCCATGTGATCCAAAGAATTACAGTTGTATTACTTCTAGGGTTCATTCTGCCTTACCTTGGTCGACCACGTTCTCGATGTCCTGGTTGGTGATGTCAGCCATGAAGCCGAGCACGGAGAAGATGGTGAAGCCAGACAGAACGCTGCTCACACAATTGACGAAAGTAATAATAATAGTATCCCTGCAATGATATAAAACTGAAGTCGGTCATCCTCGCGGGTCATGCTAACTTACACCAGTCCTGCTGTCTCTATTTAAACAATTAAACAGCAAAGCCAAATATGTTAGTGTCGTAGATAATTTATTTTAATTATTTATTTATTTATTGTTTGTTTGTTTTCTTCTGTTGTATTTTATTTATTTTTATTTTTTTGTTTTATGGTGTGTTTGTTGTTGTTTTTGTGGGGGGATTTAGTTACATAAAATATTAAAATAGTACTATTTAAAAATGAAAAAGACGCTCAGTGAATGCAATATGCTGTTATTTTAATGCTATAAATAAAATGTTTAACAGTAAATCATTTCTATCTTATATTATTGCTTCAGTCAAAGACCATAGTCACAGACTTTAGCTAGTGCCGCTGGTCCCGTGCATCTTGATACAGACTATAACTAATCCCCCTTGAGAAATTCCAATTAAGAGTTTAGTCACACTCTGTTGCACAATCCACTTTTGAGCTGGCTGGGACCACACCTTCCGAACAGACATTGTGATGCAATACGTACATAGATCGTTATATCAGTAGTTTTGGACATATTGTATTGAACGAGAAGATGTCATGTCATTCAGTACATAAGGTTCAAATATATTTAGTCTGGTATGACGCTCTATATTTAATAGATAGACTTTTCATGACTCAGATTGTTTTTTTCCAAATCTAAACTCCAAACGTCACTTTCGCAGTACGTAGTACACGATGTAAACAAGAGATCACATCCATCCACCTGACGTCAACAATCAAGTGCCAGGACATGATCACGAAAGAAACAATACAAAATAACATTTGGCCCCAAACAACTTCCATTTAATAACTATAATGGTTCAAAGATTTCATTTTGGACACTCAAAGGAAAAAGCAGACCCGGTAGCCGCGCAATACCGTAATCGGAGAGCACTGCGGAAGTCGACTAAGCTCGCCCTATTGCACTGCTGTATTGCTACAGTAATGAAATGGCTATCTGACATAGCTCTGTGTTTTTCCAGTGGGAGTACTGCATTCCGCGGTTGTACACATCACACTGGTTTTACACCAGCACGTCTAGTTGATGGAAACATTCATACATCGTCACGAACGCATATTGAAAAATCTTAAAATCTCCCACTTTTCCCTTGTCAACACATAAACCTGAAATACTCGAATTTTGAAAATAAACATTATCGATATCACAGGCAAGAGAAGATAATAGTATCAACCCACCGTTCACAGTTGCTGTTAAACTTGTTGTAACTTGACATTGCCACCGAAGTGCCAAATCCATTAGCCAAACAAAAGAATACCTGAGTGGCTGCATCCCTCCACACCTGCAATACAGCCAGCAAATGGTGACAATACATCAAGTAGGTATTTGGTGATCAGAATCAGTGCCTTAAAATAATGACTGCTCTTCTCATGTCACATCTGATATAATAAAATACAGATACTAGAAAACATGGTAAAACTTCACACTTTTATTAGTAGCAGCTAAATGTAATACAGGTTGGACATGAAAATATGAACACTGTGAAAAGAATTCCTCATTAACAAACAATGACCAAAGGAGAAACTTGACTCACGTCGAGACAATGTTTGTTTTTCTTGATTAAACCTGGGCCATCCCGATCCCACTGGTTGTTCGTAGATTACTTATATAGTAAGTACAAAACATAACACCTTAGACAATAGGTTTAGCTCAGTATCACCAGAGGTATATCAGTACAATATGAAAATCTGTGTTATTCAATCTGATTGGTTGAAAAACATTATCAAATGGTATTCAATTCCTTAAAATTGCAAGACTATACGCTGCGTATTAATGCGTACAATTATCGCACACAATTGTATTGTTACGTCGTCAGCAGTGGTGACGTCATTCAAATCATATTGTGACGTAAAGTCGGAATGACGTTATAAATGAGCAGTTCCAGATGCTACCATGGGAACCAGCCAGAAAGGCCGGCTAATGACACCCGTACTCGAGAGAAACACGCGTGGGGACCTTTTGCTTTTCTTTTGCGTTTACAATGTCTATAAATATCTTGTGTTGGCTAATTTCCAGGTGTTATTGAGTACTTGAAGCACGGGGATTTATTTGGAACCGATGGCGTTAGCCGGAGGTTTCAAATGAAATATTATCGTTTATCTCCTAGTTACGTACGAGCCAAACTTAGTTTGGACCTGATTATCAAGTAACAGTACCACCCCTACAAGTGCCTGGGAATTACCAGACTTGTGTTTTCTGAAAAAATGAGACACAAGTAACAAACTAACTACTAAACAATAGGGGAGATGTAGGTACCAGAATAGAGATACCTTTATTATCAGCCTTCCCACAAAACCAAGAGACCCTAAAAGAAATATGCCAATATAAATGTAGCTTTTAAGAAGAACATGAAAGCAACAGGAAACCACCATCCTGCCAGCAACAACCGCTGAGACCTGTATACCACCTTTCGTGCAATTGTGGACCTGCTTATACTGGCGAAACCCCTCACAATCCGAATCAAAGAACATCAGATATCAGCATTATAACTTTATTCTAAATCAGACAGCTGACCATATCCGAGACAATCCCGACCACAGCATCTGGTGGGACAAAGTCAAAACCCTATCAACCAACCTCAAAGACTTCAACAGAAAACTCCAAGAAGTTGTGGACATCAAAAGACTTCCACCATCAATCAATCGTAACACACCTCCAGTCTACCACCAGCTCACAAAAGATTCCCATCAATCAATCGTAGTCAAGGTTATTGCATACCTTCAGCCTACCACAAGCTCACCAAAGATTCCATCAATCAACCGTGGTCAAGGCTACTACATGCCTTCAGCCTACAACCAGCTCACCAAAGATTCCCATCAATCAACCGTGGTCCAAGGCTACTACATGTCTTCAGCCTACAACCAGCTCATCAAAGATTTCCATCAATCAACCGTGGTCCAAGGCTACTACATGCCTTCAGCCTACAACCAGCTCACCAAAGATTTCCATCAATCAACCGTGGTCCAAGGCTACTCCATGCCTTCAGCCTACCACAAGCTCACCAAAGATTCCATCAATCAACCGTGGTCCAAGGCTACTACATGCCTTCAGCCTACAACCAGCTCACCAAAGATTTCCATCAATCAACCGTGGTCCAAGGCTACTACATGCCTTCAGCCTACAACCAGCTCACCAAAGATTCCATCAATCAACCGTGGTCCAAGGCTACTACATGACTTCAGCCTACAACCAGCTCACCTAAGATTCCATCAATCAACCGTGGTCCAAGGCTACTACATGCCTTCAGCCTACAACCAGCTCACCAAAGATTTCCATCAATCAACCGTGGTCCAAGGCTACTACATGCCTTCAGCCTACAACCAGCTCACCAAAGATTCCCATCAATCAACCGTGGTCCAAGGCTACTACATGCCTTCAGCCTACCACCAGCTTACCAAAGATTCCCATTTAAAAACAAAATCTTTTTTATTCATTTCAATTCAGTAGGTATGCATTCAGATTGGGTGTGTACAAATATATACATATATTATGTATGAATAACAGCTTCATGTAATTTATATATAGCAACAATACATTGTTGGTTGGATACTGTACTGAAGCGTGCGTGGAATAAGCACGTATGGACATCCAAACTGATATAAGCTGTGTACTATGAGTACTGATAACAGACAAACTTAAAACATGAGACAACTACAGTAAGACTGCAATACAGTGATCAAATGTTTCCACTTTGCATGGAATGAAGGCAGAGCGTTATTCTTCTTTGCAATAATTTCTTCAACATTAAAAACATCCTTGACAGTTTTCCTAAAACCTTCTATTGTTAACATATTTATTTTGATGCTTGTGATATGGATATATTTTTTGGCTAATAAGATTATATGTGATTAATGACAAACCTTGGCTTCGGTCAACTTTGTCATCTGTAGTGTCGTGAAAAATGCGACGCCCTTCTCGTGTCCTGGAAGGGTCATGCCCCTGATCAGCAACACCAGGAGAATAGCATAGGGGAAGGTGGCAGTGAAATAGACGACCTGAGAGAGAAATATCAGCAACCTTACACATCTGCAGATCAATACACCTCCTCTGTATGTTTCGGAGATCGTGAAACACAATTGTGAATTCTATTTTTCTATTGGAAATATCAGAAATTACTGACAATCCACATATGCACATTGCTGGGCCATCATCACTTTTCTTTTATGACCCTTAAACTTTTCGACACATAATCGAAATTGATTTTCCTTTGACATTGAAGTTTTAACTATCTTGGAAATAAATGTTTACCGCATCAACTGAAATGTACATCAAATGTGCTGAATATTTAGACTGATTGCTTTCTGTGGTCACGCATTTCGTCATACAAGAGAACTACTTGATCACAGATTACATTCAAATTATCACTACAACTTCAGGACGACCATCCCACAAGGGACAATGACACTTTTTGTACCTTGCCCGATGTTTTTATTCCTTTCTTCAGACAGAGGAAGAGGAGGACCCAGGCAAAGAATAGATAAATGATGTTCTTGTAACTCAGCCCTCCCAAATCCTCAAAACCATCAGATTCGTGAAGACGTAGTACATGGCGCCAAAAATACAAAACAGGATTCTTATAAGTATGCGGTTATTAAGGTATAAACGTAATAATAACGGAAACAAATATCGATGTTCATTAGAATTATAAGTCAACAATAACAACGTCAAAGAGAGTCTGTTTATTATATTTTTGTTGGGAATGGTGCTAAATCAGAGCGAACGTTCTGTGCGGTACTGCAACAACTGACTCTATTATCAGTCATTAGGAAAATAGTAACATGCCACTTCACTTGTAAACTGGCCTTTACCCGTTCCGCCGATCTCACACTTACTCCCAGTACTCTTCACTGGCTGTAGTGTATTTGTTCAGACATCTCTTGGTGATGTCATCCTGGATCATGGTGGAGTTGAGGTCGTCGGTGGTGTTGAAGGTTGAGTTGTAGACTTCAGAGATGTTGCACAGAAGGCTCTCTACACAAGGTTGGTTGTAGAGCTCTTCTGTATAGAAATGAGTGAATATGTATATGAAAAGTCGAAACAGAGCAAATATCAGAGAATTCACTCATTCCTTTATTAATAAAAGAATATATGCTTATAATGCCAACACAAGGGGATTCCCTAACAACCTATGCAGGATGTAAGAGGCAATATTCCGAATCAGGTCGCGGTCACTGTTTAATCAATATTTGATTATTTACAAGCCGTCGTCGTACAGCTTTGACAGAAACCCAACAAAGCAAGACGAAGGCACTCATACACCCTTCTAAATTCCAACCAGAAAATCTTACTGAACAAAGTCGTTGTTCTGTTTGCCTCATCCATCAGCGTTAGCGGAGGGAATGGCTCCGACCTACAGGAATTGGTGTTCCAGGGATTGCCACACGACCCCCAGGGTACAGCGTCGTCAAGGTTGACGAAGCTGACAAACATGTAGTAGATGGAGTACATGACGAGGACGTTGTAGTAGATGGTAATTATGGTAAGGATGATCACCATAGCAACCCCGATACCTGGAATGAATCAGAAGGATAGGAAATATTACTGACACAAAAGTGAGAAACGACAATGCCAAATGCAAAAGGGTAAAATCGATCGTTCATAAAACATGAACGGACTGATGCCAGGTACGTCGTCAAACATCATCTTGGGAAGGAGCACTAACTTGTAAAGGAAAAAAACAACAAATATACGATTCGAGGAGAAATTATGCATATGATCCTGTCTGCAGGAAATATCATCTCATTATTTCTTAATGTATACATCTTTGAAACAACTATCTCAATCACTACTCATCGACATGTATATTGATAAATGACGGCTTAAATGACCACCCAGGCTCTTACCGTGGAAAGCCGGGCTGACCTTCCACACCGTGATCGGCCCTTCTGAGGCGAACTGACCGAGGGCCATCTCCAGGAACATTATTGGTAGGCCAAGCACCAACATCATGATCAAGTAGGGAATCAGGAAAGTGGCTGCAAGAGTACATAGACCATAGACGAGTACATTAACACGGTGGCTACCTGTATGTATTTTATCTAAAGACAGTTACATAAGTAAAATACTCACAAGTGATTTTGTTTCAATATTTTTTAATGAGAACTGAGTCATCAGTTATCAGAGGTACTAAGGTAGTAGATAATCAATAATTGATGTATGGGACAATACTTAGATGATACAAGGCGTAAATGAAAACACCACCAGAGCACATACCTCCTCCATTCCTGTAGCAGAGATAAGGAAACCTCCAGACAGTTCCAAGGCTAGCTGCGTAGCCAAAACAAGACAGCAAGAACTGGGCCTTGTTTCCCCAGGAACCCCTCGCAGAAACCTGAAGTGATGCGTAGATCTGTCATATCTTGTATTATTGAGAACCCCATGGAATAACGCAGATACAGACGCTAACCAAACCATTAGGATTATTTTCATCTCCTGTAGTTGTATTTCTATAGATCATTTCATTTATATTACAAGAGATCATTTCTATTACATTACAAGGGACCGTTTCTATTATATTACAAGAAACCATTTTATTATGTGACAGAACATTTTTATTATATCACAGGAGACCATTTATATTATTAAGGTTTGGACAGAAGGTGTCATGAAAGGAACAAACAGGAGAGTTACGTCCAATTGATCTCTCGCCTAACACTGGTTTGAAACTGTAACGAGGACGCCCTGACCTAGAATGAAGTGCAATTGCATTTCCCCAGCAGAGTAACTCTCCAATGTGTTGTGTTGGAAGGTGAACTATTTTTACTCTGAGATTAACAATTCTGACTTCGAGAACTTTGTTTAAATGGGATGTTATTTGAAATATTAACTCTTCCAACGCCAGTCAACCACAGGCTTTTACTGCCATGACACCGAGGTCCCAGAGATTCTGATATGGTAGATGAAACCTTCGTTTATCAAGGAGAATATCAGCTTGTAAAATACTATTATACACCATTTGAAAGGAGTACCCCTACTGTTGATAAATATATATTTTAACGTTTATATATTTCTACAATTTATAAAAAAAGTTAATAAAATACAAGCTTGCACATTTATAATGCCCAGATCAAACACATTTTTTCAATTGGCAGGATGCCATGATATCCTCTTACCTATTTCTTTTTTATAAAGAAGAAAGCAGGTAACTTCAGCTAAGGGGTCGCGGTATTCCTTCGATTTTACTTTTCAAGGATACATAGGGAACAGGTTCACGGATATTTTTTGTAAAAAAGTTAAGTTATAGTGCGCATTGCTAGTTTCGAAAGTCATTTGATATCGTCAATAGGTCCAAGTAAATATGGTTTGTAATGCGAAATGGTATCGTCAAGAGTATACGACGTTACAGCAACGGTAATAAACGTAATGAAGGAAGCATCAGTTTAAAATACCAATCAGACTTGGCGGCAACAAGGACTGGCAATCCATTTTCTTCCTGCGCAGAGTATTTAGTTATTCCACAACTTTTTGTTCCACGGTAGAAAACAACGAGGGGTTCAGATGTAAAAAAAAATAGGCAATAGTGGTTCTGTAATCATGATTACTGTCTTCTTTAAGTTCAGTTAATTGTACGATTCCGACTGTATCATACAGATGGGATAACTATCATATCACATAGTTCTGGGCGGTGGGGCAGCCTGATGGTTTAATCGTCCGCTCGTCACGCTGAAGACAAGGGTTCGATTCCTCACATCAGTACAATCTGTGAAGACCATTTCTGGTGTCCCCCGTCGTTATATTGCTGGAATATTGCTAAGAGTGGCGTAAAAACATGCTCAAATTGTGGCTATATCTGGTGTTCTTGAAAAGTGAAGGTATCCTCTCTTCCCACAACAAGAATATGTATTGGTGAACGAAGGCACCAGCTGCAAGTATCCTGATCCAGGCGGATTTGGGATTTAACCAAACTATAAAACAACCCCTGCTAAATTTCGAAAAACTAATTAATTGAACAAAATGTTGCTTGTCTTTTGGTGTCAGAATTCTTCAGCGGGTCGTCGCTGATATTTCCCTTTATACTTTGGTCGTGTGATAAATTGGACCTGAACGTATCAGCTTTGTTGGGCAATAAAGCATCCTGCTTCACATTCAGACTTTACGACGAATTCACCTTTCATCTGTCACCTGCCCACGATTGGTAATGCTAATGGATCTCGGGGAGTTTTCTGTGCTCGGGAATGAACGGAACCTGTGAGTGTCAGTAGTGGTTGGCTTCTCCTGCCTGGAGGCTCATTCCCCGAGAACGCTTGTAATTGTCACACTGCTGTGACACACTCGCTTAAAGCAACACGATTATGGTAAGCAGTCATCTGAATAGCAAGATGGCACTAAGAGTCCAAAGGGTTTCAGCCATAGGCGAGATATGTTAATAACGCTGTGCTTTATCTGAGTTGAGTTCAATTAGTTGTAGTTTATGTCATGATAGTTATAGACACAATAAAATAATTCCTTGCTTTTCAAATGGGTCGTTATTAAATTATATTTCACTTTCAGTGGAGAGATACTGGCATGGTGAATGATTGAAGTCTCTTTGGCCAAGTGGTTTTCAAATCAACTATCTGAATGTATTCAATTTACCCGAGGTCTCTAAGGGCGGATCCCAGAGAGAAACAGCATTTTCGATCCCCCCGAACGGAAGTGTTTAGCAATGGAAAGTATTATCGTCAAAATATACCCTTGCTCAAAGCTGAGGTATTTTCAATTTATGTTAACTTAATTGTGGTAATTTTTAGCGTTTTCTCCCCGCAGACGAGACATATTGATAAGGTTGTATCTTTGCTGACGTTAGTTGAACTATGGGCCTTGATTCCTGTAGACACACTTTCATTAATTGCAAACTCAAATCACCCACGATTGTTGAGAAAAGGAAAGTATTCTCGCCCCCAGGCTGCAGTTCGTCCACTGGGCGTAGTTTAACGTTTTTTAGCTTTGTATAGATGTCCATAAAACAGCATGTAGAAGTTTGTAAACTCATTATCAGAGGAGCTGGGGATTTCTGGGCAAATGAGTTTTGTATCAATTGCACTGTTTCCGTGAAAAAGCTGTAACATATGGTATTTTTGGGATTACACTTTCTCAGTAAGTTACAGATTCTATTACTTATTTCTGGTTGAGTCACATGCGGGATTTTGTTTAGTATGTAATTAATCATAGGAAATAAACATTCCTGTGTTATATAATTGTTGGATTATGTTATTATGTAGTTAATCATCGGAGACAAACATTCTTCTGTGATATAATTGTTGCATTATGTTTATTATGTAATTAGTCATCGGAGACAAACATTCTTCTGTGATATAATTGTTGGATTATGTTTATTATGTAATTAGTCATCGGGGGTGGCGCCACCTGTAATGGCGAGGGTAGCACGCACATGACATCATGGGAGTAGACATTCAGCTCTGGCGCATACGTATAGGCACAAATGTACAGCCCAATAGTACACAAACCAAGTACAAATGTGGTTTTGTGTTATCGGGGTGCTTTTTGAAAAGACAACTGCAAATTCTGCTTGTTCTCGGAATTTTACTCATCATGAGTGGCAACGTGGAGTTAAATCCGGGGCCCCTGACACGTCAGACCCAGAGCAGACTGTCCCTGTCATCCACGGGTGTCCAGGTAGACAAGCGGAGAGCGCATGCTGCTGCAGGCGATACTGACGATACAAGTATCTGCGGGATACTGCAGGATATACAGCACCAGCTCTCCAGTCTCAACTATTAGTTTGACAAATTCGAGCCTACTATAGAGACCATGAGGTAGAAGCAGGACAACATGTGGAAAACTATTGCGAGACTAGAGGATGAAAAAATGATTTTGTCAGATAAAGTCGAAAATTTAGAGTCACAGTCAAGGAGAAACAATCTTATATTCTTTGGAATTAAGGATGAAGAAAAAAACGAAACGTGGTCAAGCTCAGAAGATAAAGTTAAAAAATGTTTGTGTAACGAACTACATATGAGTGAAAGCTCATACGCAGAAAGCTAGGAGAGTTTGTAAAACACCATAGGGACAATGGCGACGATTGTTACATATCCTATAACAAACTGATACTAAATGGCGATGTCTATGCTTATGATTGGGGTAAAAAGTCCACCGTCAAGATAGGGACACGTCACAGTCCCGCTGACGACACTCGGGGTACAGCCGACACACAGACCTCTAGGTCCGGGGACAGGTCTCCAGGTAGCAGACGACAAGTCAACTCCGACGACCCGGATGCCCGAAGTGACAGTGTCCATGAGACCTAGGGTGCGGCCGAGGCCAGTCTATTGAGGAAATACAGATAAGTAAAATACTAGACTCCGATTTTCTAGAATCTATTAAGTTGTTTACATGGAATATTATCGGACTTTATTCTAAAATCCGGTCAGAAAAGAATAATCTGATACATTTGTGCACAAATTATAATATCATATGTTTCATAGAGACTTGGGCCAAGAACACTGCAGATTTTGAAACTTTGTTTCCAGATCACACCTGTTTCCAGTGTGTGAGACAACGTCGCTTTGAACGAGTACGTTACTGCGGGGGTATTGCTGTCTACGTCGCAACTCCATTGCCCACAGTTTTAGCAGACTGCATACTGAATGGACAGATTGTGTATTCCTTCTCCACACCAGCCTTGATAAACAGGTAACCTTGGATTCGTATACCTCACAAGTTTCATACAAAACTATGGCACGTCTTATTTGCCACTTGACGAATTTGAATATGACAATGATGGTTTTGATATTTTACGATCTTCTATATGTTGTGATAAATGATGAAGGGACACAATTACTATCAATATGTCGCAAATTAAATATGCATATCCTGAATGGAAGGGCTGGAAATGATAGATCAGGGGATTTCACGTTTATAAGTCAGCAAGGGAATATAGTGTCAGGCTATTGCATAGTATCATTTGATCTATACGCACATATAACTGATTTCAATATCGCATGTAG